CTATGCAGTGTTCCTCCAAGGAATTTGGTCATCACTGGGGACATGGAAATCACAGGGGTGTATTATTCCCCTCTTAATGTGCCAGATTTCAGTTTATTCCTTTAAACATACCTGTAGATCTAAGAACATCCCTGGCTATTCACAGACATTCAATGGGGATGTGAGGACAGGGATGATTTCAGGTCCAACACTTGTTTGAGTAAGAAAAAAATTATGAATCGGTTTTATAAATTCATGTTAGACAAATATCACCATTGAAGGTCTGTGGAGATGGCATTTTTCCTGCTTTCTATTGGATAAACAATCAACTTTTATGTTTATGCTTTCATCTTATAACTGGCTTCACAGTATCACATACTGCAACACTCCACGGTGAAATTAATTTAGAATGGTGCTCCAAAGTACATAAGGTTTCAACTGACCCATGCCTCAGCATACCACAACATGTGTACCATTTTATAAAAAAGTGCAGGTCTGGTTTTTTTCCTGTACATTGGTAGTCCATTCTAAATAAAATGGGCTGCCTTAACTTAACATGCTAACAATGCTGATCCAGACATCACTTCCAATAATCTGAGTGTTAATGCCACAGACATAATGAGTATTTATAAGCACTCTTCATAATAATATCAAACTGTATTCAGACTCTTTTTATTACTTAAAAAGATTTTTCAGTAGGCTGGAAATATCTATGCCCAATTCAGGATTATCTTTTTAGGAAAAGTGAATGACATTGATACTTCATGTAGACTGGTGCTCAGGATAACCCAAGTGAGGGCAAAAAGTAATGGTGGGTCCCTCAATGTGGTAAGCAGCACAACAACATGGGCAGACATCTTTGTGCTTTTTGTCCGATAAGCGTTTTTCTGATCTATGAAGACACCATCTGGTTCTCAACTTGTCTCCAGTTCCTTCAGGTCTTCTATGAGGAACATCACTACTTTATACACTAGCTCAATTGGACTTAATTTATATAAGCTAGTTCAAAAGAAGTGAGGATGAAAAATCCTGGTAGGTCCCATGATATGGTAAGCAGCACAACAATGGGCAGACATTTTACTGCTTATCGTCTGATAAGCGATCTGCCAATCTATGAAGATCCCAACTGGTTCTCATCTTGTCCCCAGTTTCTTAAGGTCTTCTATGAGGAACATCACTGCTTTACACACTAGCTCAATTGGATTTATTTATATAAAGCTAGTTCAAAAGAACTGTTGTGTTGCGAATAGCATCATTTTCAGTAGGCTCCAAAAGCAAAGCGAACATCATTTGGGCTAGTATTTATAAATGCACCCCATTGTCCTTTCTCGCATCATTCATAATGCTACTTTAGTGAGCTTTGTCATTATGACAAAAGTTACATTATTTAAACATTGTGCTTTTGATTTGGAAGCATAATCCTTTCCTGCATATTTCTCATACCTAGACTGGAAGATGAGTTCATGTTAAAAATTCTATTTGCCTCCCAATCTGCAAGTTTCTAACTGGGATGCTGTGAACCAAATCTCAGTCTATTATGACTAGGACATTCATCACTAGGTGTTACAATCTATAATGTGTGGATGGAGATTAGAGAATCTTTGAAAATACATTCCACCCACAATGCGCAGGTTTGAAAACTGCAATTCAGAATGGGCTGAGGCTTCATGTTCCTGCATCATTAAGATCAGACATCGCTTGTATCTGCTGATGCAACCATGACAGAAGAACTATATATACATTCATATGGTTTTTAAAAACCTTTCAGTAAATTTGGTCACAGAAAGCTTTGTCCCAATTCACACCATTGATAACCTGATTAAACTCCAACATCCTGTAACTTTATTTTTTATTTTTATTTTTTTTTTTACTTCAAGTAAGCAGAGGACAAACACTTTGAATGGCTTTGATACTGTGAACCACAGTGGTTAAAATTCATAAGAACACAATGTAATGTAGCACAATAAGGTCACATTATAACAAAATGAAGGCTGGGAGTTCATTTCTTTTCCATAGCTTGGAAATAATGCAGTGCTACTTCAATGTGTTATTGGAAGCATTACAATACAGTGCAGTCCCCTCCAATAATGGAGGGTGTTAAGCTGAATGTGCTTTTTTTTTTTAGAATGAAAATTCCATGGCTGATTCCTAGAACCAGGCTGGGAAAGGTGATGGATGCACGCGATCTGGGCTCATTTGCAGAGTGCAGGGTCTGGGGTCTACATGGTGGCAGGGTTGTCAGCAATGTCATGCAAGCGCTGCTCAATAAAGAGTCGGAGTGATGTGTACCTGTAATACAGAAAACAATTCTCTGTTATAAAGACAAGAGTAGGAAGTTAAAGGTAAGCTGTTAGGGCACCTATGCGTCACAGCTGAAGATCCAGTGCCATGCTGGAGGCTCTCATTTCCTAGAAACAGTGCTAGTACATGCAGGTATATCACAGTCTACTCTGCCCAAAAACTAGTGCCACCTATAAAACTGGCAGCCTCCAGTGCTAGATTTGAAATTCAGCTGAGAAAATATTTCCTTCCCAAGAAGTTCCCTTTAAAAGTAAAACTATAGGCAAAACTTTTTTTCATTTTGGATAGAGTAAGGAAGGGTTATAACCCCTTTCATATTTTTTTTTTCCTGCCATCTGTGTCCCATTACAGAGATTTACCTTCACTTCCTGTCCTATAGCCATACAAGTAGTAAGAGGAAATCACTGTAAATTAAGGGAATTTCTTGAGGATCCCCAGGTCACCAAAACTAGCGTGCCCATTGGAAGATTTCCCCACTATTACTTTTCTGGGAACAACCCAAAATTTATTTTGTTTGACTTTCACCTTCAATGAGCACAGTAAACAGGACAAATAGGGTGAAGATCTCTAACAGGGGCAGACAGCAATAAAATCTGACAGGGGTTCTAATCCCTCTACAATAAAAAAAAGATTTGCCCTTACTTATACTTTAACATTGTCGCAAATGCTTTTAAATTGATATTCCTAATTTCTTACTGGATCAAAACCACAGACAAGCACAGACTATAAATCACAATGTAGGTTGTACTAAAATGGCTACTGTAAAGAAACAGGATCGGAGATCAGCTTGTTTGTCCTACTCTAGAATACCCATGTAACACCATGTTTAAAGAAACCCTGTTACCTTACCTCGATTTTTAAATTAAAACCTTACAGCAGTAAAGGATAAGCAGCACTTCCATGCTTGCCCAAAACTTGACTTACTTGTACAATAATGTTCCTAAAGTACAGTACGGGGGAAAGAGCCTAGACCAGGGATCTCCAAACTTTCTAAACAAAGAGCCAGTTTACTCTCCTTCAAACGTTTGGGGGTTGAGAGGGCTTTGGAAAATGCCCTTGCGTGTGCGGGAGTAAACATAGCACTTGGTGTCAGTAAAAGGAGGAATAGTGCTCCATCATTGGTGTCAGTGGGAGGAATAATGCCACATCATTGGTGTCAGTGGGAACAATAGTGCCCCTTTCTTGGTGTCAATGGGAGGAATAGTGCCTCAACTTTGGTGTGAGCGGCAGGAATTATGCCTCACTGTTGTCAGTGGAAGGAATAGTGCATCGTTGTTGGTGTCAGTGGGATGAATAGTGCCCCATTATTGGTGTTAGTGGAAGGAATAGTGCCCCATTGTTGGTGTCAGTGGTAGCAATTATGTCCCACTGTTGGCGTCAGTGATGGAATGGTGCCTCATTAATAGTATCAGTAGAAGGAAGAGTCCCCCAATGGCTAGATAAAAGCAATCAAAGGGCAGCATCCAGCCCATAGGCCACAGTTTGGTAACCACTGGTCTAGGCCATGAGTTATTTACAGCAACCTTTAGGTAACTAGATACTGGCAAACAAAACTGTAGGGACAGACCCAATATAAACCTATCCCAGAAAGTCTCTTTTTTTTTTTTTACTAGTGTCCTTAAGTAATGTACGTCTTCTATCTACTATGTGGCATGTTTCTAGCTGCTACCTAGCAGCTGCGGCCACTTCGGCTCCCCTATTTGCTGATTTCCAGATCAGGTGACTCCTTGGCTGAGCCTTGAGAGAGCATAGCCCGGACCCTGCCAGTTAGAAGCCCAGTGGGCTGGGCCTGTAATGTTGCTTTGTGCATTTGATCCTGCGTTGGAAGCTAACCTTGGCATGTGGTTGAACATATTTTAGCCTCAGGGTGCTATGCAGATGCAGGGTCTACAATCTGATCCTATGTGCTGTACTGCACAATTAACACATTTTCCCCCCAAGTAACTTTACTAGGAATGTGACCATCTCTTGGAAGAGCCAGCTCTTGTCTGTACTGGCCCAGGTTCCTGCTCCCTCTCCCTGCTTCTATGTTGGCGAACAGCAGGAGCCTGCACAGCTACTTGTTAACAAATGATAGGATTTCGGACAAATTCATCTATTGATTATCTGTGCACATGTAAAGTAATTAAACAGAAGTGCCAGTTTGAGCAGAGACAACAGTGCACAAAAAATGTAACCAAAGCAGGAGCTGTCTGCAGTGCAGACTGGAGGAGGTGCCACTACTGGCATTATTCAGTGCTCTACTGTGTGCAAGTTCCTATTATCAGCCACTCTGTCCTGCCATCAGATAACCAAAAGGCTGTTCAGTGAATCTCACACATAAAAGAAAACCAGGGATATACTACAGAGTGCCCTTTAAGCGACAACTCAGTTTGACTGAGCAGTATGGGACTGCTGATGTCATATCCAAAATGGAGGAACCATCTCAGGCCTGATCAATATCAAAATATTAAAAAAATTACAGGGCGATTAAACAGATGAAACAAGATATTTGACATACAATCCTTTGAGAAGATTGTTATATGTATGGATAAGATGTGGACATGGAACTTTTTAAAAGGGCTCCTCACACAGCAGCTGGGCCTTAACAGCACCTTCATGCATAATGCTATACAATAGAACTCTTACAGTGTTACTTTGACCTGCTGATGTGTTTATGTTAAGAGAACAGAAAGCTGTAGATTTAGTTTGCTCCAGGTAAGTTATCTCTTGCTTTTCACTCAGCAGCCATATTGGTCGTTTTTCTGCTTTCTGGCTGTTTCTTCTGTGTAGTTTGTACTGAGTGCACAAAGTAGCCGGATATTAACTCTACTGTACCTCCTTGTCAGCTTGGTGATTTCCCTGTCTTCTTCCTCCTTGAGTTTCTGAATGAAGCTGTTTAGTACAGGCATCTCAAACTTAATGTACTGTGCCACCTGTGAAATACAACAAACATATAAATGTGTTAATGCTCTCCAGGATAGCTAGATAGGCGCCACCTGTGAAAAACAACAAACATATAAATGTGTTAACGCTCTCCAGGATAGCTAAATAGGCTGTTTATGTTTTTTTTTTTTTTTAGTAGCAGCCTGGGATGAGTCAGCATGGGAGTGAGGCAGGAGTTCACCTGGGAGGTTCTACAGCTCCCACCTCTCCAGAAACTACAGAACCTTCTGGAAGAGGGGAGGAGGCCCAGACCTGCTTGTTTGTGGAACCTTGGCCAATTCCCTGGCAGGAGGCTGGGCATGGCCAGGACAACTGTCAACTATCAGAATGCCTGGGGTGCAGTGTCGGGTGGAAGATGGATCGAGGAAGGGTGGAGTGAGGAGCCTGGGAGGGGGCTCCAGGGAGGGGAGCCTACCTACAGATAGGTCGCTGGAAGGGAAGACCTCCTTTGTCACATCATCTCCTTGGGAGGACAGTCTGTGCAGCAAGGAAGGAGCCAACCCAGTGTAAGGCCTGAAGGCAGCCACCAACCAACCAAGCTTACAGGAAAGGACAGTGTGAGTTCCCCTACATCTCCTAGGCCAGATAAGGGAAGAGGGCAGTCATGTGCAAGACCCAACTAGTTCTCATCTTAATTAAGACTACTTAATTGTAAGCTCTTGGGATGCCTTACCCAGAGATACCCTCAATGCAGCTGGGTGAAGAGGAGGAATTATCCAGAGTCTGCGGAGGTTAGGTGCTCCTTAATAGGATATGTTGCTAAACTACATTTTTGTACATAGTTGCTAAGAAATTGTCCTCAGGTTCTGCAGTTCCTTGGGCATCCCATATATCCCTAGACCCCATGCAAGTTTAACCCCTTAATTAAAACCATAAAACCAAGCTCAGGGACTGTTTACGGTCAAGTGTGGAAAATGCATGTAGCCTAGCCATTCAAAGCTTAAGGGGACCCAATTCAAATCCAGAGGCCCTTATGAGGGTAATGCTACAAATGAAGGAAACCATATCTTTTTAAACAGAACATACTACATTCACAATGCACTGTGGGCTGTTACATAGGCTGTTCTTGCAGTGCCCTCTCCAAGCTCATTTCATATTGATATGTCCTCATTCAATATTCTGCCCTTATAATATTACTCAACATTTTCTCCACTCAGAATAGACATTTATAAGGCTAGCCATACACAATAAGTTTTCTCTCAGTCAGCCTTGCTCTAAACAGCATCAATGGAGGTACTGCAAGACACAAAACAGCAGCGTGTCCAACTCCAAAACAGTGCCAAAGGATCCAGTGAACACTCCAGCACCACTATGCACTCATCAGAATGCTACTGGTATAGTAGCAATGATCGATGGTCAATCAGATGTAATATTCACAATTCTTAGCCAGAGATCCTCCTAGAAGGAAAGCCATGGTGTTCTGGCTCTGGTGGAGTGTTCACTGGATCCCTTGGCACTGTTTTGGAGTTGGACACATTGCGGTTTTGTGTCTTGCAGTACCACTGACACATATGGACTATATTTTGTCACATTTTAATTATGATTTACACTAGCACCTATATTTTACACTGTATGGACTTTATTCATATATTGTTTCACCGATGTTTATGCTTTGTTTGCACTTATTTGTAAACTCTTGGATGTTTTACCATATGATTTAGTGCTGCACTTTATACACATATGTGATGTAATGCATGTTACTGTGAGAACAGTAATGCACAGAAAAAATGAACCTGGTTATAGACAAGACCAGTATTTTTTCTTGTCCCAAGTGATAAGAAAAATCAAGAATCTTACATCATAGGTGATCTCTTCCACTTGATCCTTCTCCATAAGGAAAACCTTGCACACAAGCTCACAGGGGCCATGCAGAATTCGAGCAACAAGAGGGTAGTCTGTGTCCTTCAGCTTGGCCTTCTCTGTAAGGAAAGTAAGACCGGATATAACTTCATAAAACTTCATAGTGTACAAAGAATGCATGCTGATATTAAGAATCCTAGAAGAGTGCACTGACACTTTAGCCCTTGTTAATAAAATTAATGGAATGTCAACGGGCAGCACAGTGGCTAAATGGTTAGCACTTCTGCCTGGCAGTACTTGGGTCATTGGTTCAAATCCCAGCCATGGCACCACCTGCCTGGAGTTTGCATGTTCTCCCTGTGCCTGCGTGGGTTTCCTCCGGGTACTCCGGTATCCTCCCACATTCCAAAGACATGCAAGTAGGTGAATTGGCTCCTGTCTAAATTGGCCCTAGTATGTGTATGTATGAATGTGAGTTAGGGACCTTAGATTGTACGCCCCTTGAGGGTTAGGGACTGATGTGAATGTACAATATATATGTAAAGCGCTGCGTAAAAATTGACGGTGATATAGAAGTACCTGAAATAAATATATAAAACTGTGCAGTAACCCATGCCCGCCAATAAGAAAAAATAAATAAAATAGAGCATGGCCATGCCTTGAATTAGATTGCATTACATCACATCAGTGATTGGTTTAAAAATGTTAAAGAGCACCTGCATTCTGAAAGCTGAGCTCAAAAAAAGGAAAGCAGAGGAGCAGGGCTTTACTTCCCCTTGTGAGATATGCACAAATGGTACCATTTCTGGTAAATTTCAGTAATTTTCTATATTCTCTATATTCCCTATAAAATAGCATATCTTCACTTCTTGAGTTCAGGCCTAGCTCTAGCTATAAAATAAAGGTTTATTTCAAACTGAATTCCTTCACAGCTTAGGTCACTCAAAAACATGAGATGACAAAACTAGATCTTGTTGGTTTAGGAGATACTCGGGAAGTACCCAATACGTTTTTTCTAATGTGATCTGCCAGATCAAGAAAATTTACTAAAAACTCTGTAGTGTAAAATATTACCTAAAATCTAGTCAAGTACATTTTTCTGATCTGAGCAAATATAAAGCAAAAATTGACTCCTATACCTCATGGAGCAATGATAAAACTAGCTACATACAGCAGTCTCATGCTACCAATCAGAATTTCCCCTCTAATCAGTTTAGAGTTTTCAGAATGAAGAATTGTGATTTATATGGGTTACTGAATTTCACATATCACGCTTTGCCTTAATAAATAAATAACATTTTGAGAAACATAATTAGATATAATATATACTGTACATCTTAGTGGTATATACTGTACATATTCAATATAACTTGATACCGGTAAACCTATTCATTTTTATCTAGAACTATTTAATATGACACAGCATATAAACAGCTAAATACAGTTGCAAGAAAAAGTATGTGAACCCCTTGGGATTACATGGAGTTTTGCATGAATTGGGCATAAAATGTGCTCTGAACGTCATCTAAGTCACAACAATAGAAGAACACAGTCTGCTGAACATAATACTACACAAACAGATGTTGCCATGGTTTAATTGCACATAACATGTAAACATTCACAGTGCAGGGAGGAAAAAGTATGTGAACCTTTGGACTTAATAACTGGTTGACCCTCCTTTGGCAGCAATAATCTCAACCAAACGTTTCCTGTAGTGGCAGATCAGACCTGCACAACGATCTGGAGTAATTTTGGACCACTCCTCTTCACAAAACTGTTTCAGTGTAGCATTATTCTTGGGATGTCTGGTGTGAATCGCTCTCTTAAGGTCATGCCACAGCATTTCAATCGGGTTGAGGTCACGACTCTGACTGGGCCACTCCAGAAGGCGTATTCTGTGCTGTTGCAGCCATTGTTTTGTTGAATTACTTGTATGCTTTGGGTCATTGTCCTGTTGCATCACCCATCCTCTGCGGAGCTTCAGTTGGCGGACAGATGGTCGTACGTTTTCCTGCAAAATGTCTTGATAAACTCTGGAATTCATTTCCCATCAATGACAACAATCCATCCAGGCCCTGAGGCAGCAAAGCAGCCCCAAACCATGATGCTCCCTCCGCCATGTTTTACAGTGGGGATGAGGTTTTGATGTTTATGTGCTGTGCCTTTTTTTTCTCCACACATAGTGTTGTGTGTTCTTCCCAAACAACTCAATCTTGGTTTCATCTGTCCACAGTATAGCTGTAGAGCCAGTAGAGCTGTGGAACATCCAGGTGCTCTTTTGCAAACTTCAAAACGTGCTGCAATATTCTTTTTGGACAGCAATGGCTTCCTCTGTGGTGTCCTCCCATGTACTCCATTCTTGTTTAATGTTTTCCTTATTGTAGATGTGTCAACAAAAATGTTAGCATGTGCCAGAGATTTCTGTAGGTCTTTAGCTGACACTCTGGGATTCTTCTTTACCTCATGCAGCATTCTGCGCTGTGCTCTTGCAGTCATTTTTACAGAACGACCAAGCCTAGGGAGAGTAGCAACAGTGCTAAACTTTCTCCATTTGTAGACAGTCTGTCTTACCGTGGACACATGAACATCAAAGCTTTTGGAGATACTTTTGTAACCCTTTCCAGCTTCATGCAAGTCAACAATTCTTGATCGTAGGTGTTCTGAGAGCTCTTTTCTGCGAGGCATAGTTCACATCAGACAGTGCTACTTGAAACCAGTAAATCCAAAACAGGTGTGGGGTTTTTAAGGGCAGGACAGCTGTCAGCAACACATCCAATATCATCACACTGATTGGAGTCAAGGTTGGCTCACTCCTGGCTGCAATTAGCTCTGGGAGAAGTCATTAAGCTAGGGCCTCACATACTTTTTCCTCCCTGCACTGTGAATGATTACATGTTATGTGCAATTAAATCATGGCAACATGTAATGTTTGTGTAGTACTATGTTCAGCAGACTGTGTTCTTCTATTGTTGTGACTTAGATGACGTTCAGAGCACATTTTATGCCCAATTCATGCAAAACTCCACGTAATCCCAAGGGGTTCACATACTTTTTCTTGCAACTGTATACTGTCATAAAACAGAAAGACTGCACAGAATTGCAGATCCATTGACAGGTAGAACAGTAGACATGAATGCTTTTTGACTATGCATTTAGCCATTTGCTTGAAAACACTAAAAATCTGAAATTTTTCTTCATATCTTGTCAGCTGAATTGTAATATCTTTTGGTAAATTCTCTATAAATGTTCATTAATAGTTAATGAGGATTAAATACTGGTGGGATTAACGAACACAGTCTTTGGGGATGCCATCAACAAGGATTTCCCAGGCAGACTTTACGGCTCTGCCACCGTGGTCAAGTCTAATACAATTTTCATATTTGAAGAATGACTATTCATTAGACATTGCATACTGATAAGCACAGGTAGGAATATCTTGCCACAGAAGTCCCTGTGAAATAATAGGGATAATAGGGCTTAAAACCCAAGCACAGGTAGGAACATCTTGCCACAGACGTCCCTGGGAAATAATAGGGCTTAAAGCCTAAGGGGACAGGTAGGAACATCTTGCCACAGAAGTCCCTTTGAAACAGTAGGGCTTAAAGCCTAAGAACAGGTAGGAACACCTTGCCACAGACGTCCCTGTGAAATAATAGGGCTTAAAGGCCAACTGCAAGCACAACAAAAAATACCCTTGCAGCCCCCCTTCTGACTTCTAGGGTTAAATGCTTGTTACGTCTGGGGACTGGCTATATTACACCCTATTCCCTGCATCAGCATAGTCCACGTTTTTCAGCTCCGGTCTGTGGGCGATCCCTCTGCATCATTACATACAATGAAAAGGTAATTAACTCTGTATTGTACACGCCAGAGGCAAATGTGCGAATGCTGCCAAGAGCAGCTTAGAGAGGAGGCTGCGCAGGACTGGTCATACCTTTGAAGACACCCTGCAGGAGTGAGGAAAAAGGTAAATAATACAGCCTCTTCTGCAATCCTCTAGACTTAAAGTGATTGTAAAGATAGATTTGTTAAATTAAACTAACAAACATCTTATACTTATGTGCTCTGTGTAATGGTATTGCACAGAGTGACCCTGAACATAATCTTCTCAGGTCCCCTGCCAGTACTGTCCACTCCTCCTCTTTTCCGAGTGCCCCCATAGCAAGCAGCAAAAACTCTCATGCAAGTGCACACCCGAGCCAGGCTGTATGCGTCCATAGACACACAACATGACTTGGACATACCACTCCTCACAGGATTTGACTGATGGCCAATGGCTTTTGCTGCTCTCAGTAAAGTCCATGAATGCAAAAACCCAAGAATGCAGGAAGCAGAGCAGGGCTGCTGGCGGGGATAACGTTGGATCGAGAATGTCAGGTAAGTGCTTAGGGAACAGGAGGGGTTGGGACAGAAATTGGAAGGTTTTTTTTACCCTGATGCAGGGTAAAAACCTTTTGCCTTTAAAACTACAGTACTTTAAAAAGTATTTAACGCTTTTAGTGTGGAGCCCCCACTGATGGGTTTTTGTTGTTTGTTTTGTGCCCAGAGTTGAGTTTTAAACCTGCCAGCTTTGAGCCAACATGTACATGGGCTTTTGCTTGCATCTGAACAGATTTTCTTCCCCATACAACTCAATTTAAATGCAAAAGTAGCTTGACAACTCAGAAGCAACTTGAAGCAGCAATTTAAGCAACAGGCAAATAAAGACAATTTAGGCACAAATCAAAGCATTGTAGAAGTACTTAAAACATACTGCATTTGGCTTGTTTTTGAGATTGGTGTTCATGTACAAATTACACCTAGATCCCAAACTACAATCCCCTAACCTTTGACACATTAAGCTCATTGGATACAAAGAAAACACAGAAAAAGGGCGCACCGACCTAGTGCATTATCATTTAAAATAATTTATTAAAGAAACCTTCACAATGGACATAATAACAGAGGCATGTCAAACTGCAAGGTGTATGATCCAAATAAGAGTCCATACGATGGAACCCTGGATGACCAACTGGCCAATGCGTTAGAGGACACAACTCTTTCATCTAAGAGGTATGCGTTAGCCAGTTGGTTGATACCTATTTTTGTTTCTTTTAAAATTATTTTAAAGATAATGCACTAGGTCGGTGCGCCCTTTTTCTGTTTCTCCATTGGTATCCAGTGTATTCGAACCACCCCGGTCTGTTGAGGGCAGCAAGCAGTGCATATTCCAGTAAATTCCAGAACATTCCTATTGGGTCTACATGAGTCCTTTCCTAGCGCAGGAGTAAAGTGTTTGTTGTGTTACATTAAGCTCATTATAAGAGTTGCTTTCAATCTTTTATTTATTTTTTATTACATACCTATATAGCACAGTCAATTTACACAGTGCTTTACATATATATTGTACATTCACATCAGTCCCTAATCCTCAAGGGGTGTACAATCTAAGGTCCCTAACTTACTTTCATACATGCACATACTAGGGCCAAGTTAGACAGGATCCAATTAACCTACCATCATCTCTTTGGAGTGTGGGAGGAAGCTGGAGTACCCAGAGGAAACCCACACACTCGCAAGGAGAACATGCAAACTCCAGGCAGGTGGTGCCGTGGTTGGGATTTGAACCAACAACCCTAGTACTGCCAGGCAGAAGTGCTAACCATTTAGCCACTGTGCTAATCTTTTCAAATCCACAGCTTTCATTAAAAATATAAAGTTTGTGATCCTGCCATGAAGGGCTTTGCTCAGGCATTTCCTGTTGTGGTGTGAAAACTCTCTCCCAAATTTGATCCTACATGGTCACCCTTTAATGTGCTCCTCTGCTGGAGACTGCAAGTGCCGTTTCAACACACATTTGCACAGGCATGGTGCACTGCTCCAACTATCAGGAAGTCAGTCCAGAGCAATGGTTTGCTGCTAACACTACAGTAAAAACATATGTACATAGACAGGAACAGGCTAAAAGAGGCTGGAGCAGATCAGCAGCAATAAAATGCAACAAAGGACGAAAAACAGAATTTTATGGAGGAAAAAATTCAATTGTTCATGATGCCTAGTGCTTTACCAAGTAAATGGTATCTGTCAAACTGGTGGCCCTCCAGCTGTTGCCAAACTACAAGTCCCATGAGGCATTGCAAGATTGACAGTCACAAGCATGACTCCAAAAAGCAGAGGCATGATGGGACTTGCAGTTTCGCAACAGCTGGAGGGCCGCCAGTTTGACACCCCTGTGTTAGGGTTTACAGTTGGCCACATTCTCCAGAATCTGAACTGCAAAATGTAAACCCAAATGACCTTTTTTCACTTTGACGTGCATATCTACCTACAGATGTAACAATGTAACTAGTGTCCTGACTCAGCAGTAGAAGAATAGATAGATGTAGTTGTGTCTATGGTTTCCCCATGGTCATATAATGTTAAAAAAATACACAGAACCATTGAATAGCATCCATAAATGCAAATCTCTTACCTCCACTTGTGTGCACCATATACAAGGAGAACTCTGAAGGGAAATTCTCAATCTGAAATTAAATTGCCATAAGCTAAGTAGCATTTGCTATTAAAATATTTAAATGAGATTCTGGAAAAAATATTTAAAATGACAATAAAAACAACTTTGTTAGTTTTAAAACATTAAAAACTGTACATTTATCTATGTCCAGCACACATTTTCTCCCCCCCCCCCCCCCCCCAAGGGCTATAAATGCTCTAAATTATAGTTGTGTAGTAGAAGCTAATGCTAACTATTCTTGAAAATGTTCTCTCTCCTACCTGTCCTGCATACTCTGTATAAAAGAGATCTGTGTATTTACCCTATTTTTAATCTGGTTCAGTCTGGTTACATGATCCAGCAGCTCCAGCTTCCTTGTGTATGGGAGCACTTGAGAATGCCTGTAAACCCTAGAGCCGTAATATCACCACCAGTTCTTATTGGCCAGTTGTTTCGGTGCTCCCCTCTCCTCCAGTGCAGCAACTGCTCTGACACAGGGGAGCGGGAGCTGCTGGATCATGTGACCAGACCAGAGCAGTTTAAAAATAGGTAAGTATACAGATTTTTTTTTGTTTTTATAGAAGGCAAGGGGAGAGAACATTTTTTTCTAAATAGTATTAGCCTTACCACTTTAAATGTAGTTAGAAATAGCTGGTTATGGGGTTTCTTCAGAAGTGGTATTATCGTAGTACCTTTTAATAGTGTGAATGTATTTATATATATAGTGTGAGTGTGTGTGTGTGTGTGTGGTGTGTGTGGGGGGGGGGGTTTACATTGTTCTCCCATACATAATCAATGTTTACCTACATATAGAGAAGTGGTATTGTATTTCTTTGTGCATCTTATAGTGATAATAAAGGATTTCTATTCCATTCTACCTTGTCATTCATATTGTACATGACATTACTTGCCACAATAGGAAATTGCTGCAAGGAAAAGGTACAATCAGTCCAAGGAAGAAGACAAAATGCTCCCATCCAAATAAAAGTTTTTTTTTTTTTCCTTTTTATCTCCCTCTGGTGGGGAGTTTATAACCCTTCCTAGCTGAGTGCTGGCATGTATTATTTAGTTCTTAGAAAGCTACACCTAAAGTGATAGCCAGCCAGTGACTAAGGAGCTATGTAGGGAATCATCTGAGGTTATGACACAACAGTCTGAACTTTTACAGACCCTAAATATTTTTCTGAAAGAATATCCAAATCTTATTCAATAAAAAAATACTTTTTCCTAAAGGAAAATAGTAAGATGAAGAAAATCCAGACCCCTGATCTGAATACTGTTTTTTCAGATAAGTGTAGATAAATACAGAAGCCACAGATTCAGCTTGACAGCCAGGGAATGGAGGCTGCGATTGCTAGCCTCTCATTCTTAAAGTTCAGTTTTCCTGTGCAATGGCCCATATCAACCAGGAGGAATTCACTCTGATGACACCAGACCAGGACAAGATGAATTCTTGTTAGTTGCTATTGATTATTGCCCAGATAAATCAATCAATCACAGCCCATCATGTGCTAGTCTGAAACCAGCAGAGTAAATTTGTATTGGTTTTTAAGGTTTGTTGTACTTCTGAATAATAGCTCTCTATTGAAGGGCAAAGAGGCATTTGATTATGTTTTCAGCAATGTTTGCTTGTGTTTGTGTGGTTTGTGTATTTGTATATCCAAAAAGCACTGGATGACATGTAAGGCTGCAAAGGATTGAAAAATTCTAAATAAAAAAAATAAAATCAAAAAGTATCTTGTGTGCTTTTGAAAAATTTATATCTGACAAAGGTTGTTGCTCTTGCTGTGACTTTCTGTAACTGGTAGTAATGCAGCAGTAGCAGAACATGTTGTACCTTAAGATACAGTTCTGCCTATGATTCCTACATCAAATTCAGGCCTTGTTCACACTGATGCGATTTCAGTTGCAACCTGGGTTGCACTAAATTGCATGACAATGGAAATAATGTTGCTTCCAATAGTGCCCGTTTACATCAATGCAGCAAAGCTGCGATGCGACTTTGGGAAAGGGTCCTGTTCTACTTTGGTGTGATTTGCAGTGCGATTTGGCCCCATAGAATACAGTCATGGACAAAAATATTGGCACCTCTGCATTTCTGTCGATAATGCACCACTTTGCCCAGATGATTGTTGCAATTACAAATGTTTAGGCATTCTCATGTTTATTTCTTTTGTTTGTATTGGTATGACACAAAAAAGTGGAGAAACATGTAAAACTCCAAAAATGAACTGGAAAAAATTATTGATACCCTCAATTTAACCACTTGCCCTCCTGAGGATTTACCCCCCTTCCTGACCAGGCCATTTTTTGTATTACGGCGCTGCGTTACTTTAACTGACAATTGCGCGGTCATGCAACGCTGCACCCAAATGAAATTTACGCCCTTTTTTTCCCCACAAATTGAGCTTTCTTTATGTGGTATTTGATCGCCTGTGCGCTATAAGCAAAAAAAGACCGACAATTTTGAAAAAAAAAAAAAACAACAATATTTTGGACTTTTTGCTATTAAACATGCCCAGTAAAAAATTTTCAAAAATCAAATTTCGTCATAAATTTAAATGTATTCTGCTTCATGTCTTTGCTAAAAGAAAATCCCAATATGTGTAAATTAATTGGTTTACCTGAAAGTTATAGCGTTTACAAATGGCGGTACAAATACTGGAATTTTTTTTTTCTCTACTAGTAGTGGCAGTGATCAGTGACTTTTAGTGGGACTGCAGCGAACATTCTGACACTGGGGGGGGTGTCACTAACTTGGTGTCACTGACATCCCCAGTAATACCAATACAGTGATCAGTGCTAAAAAAAGAGCACTGACACTGTACTAATGGCATCGGGCAAGAAGGGATTAATATGAGGGGTGATGAAAGGGTTAACCATGTTCTGGGAGTGTTTTATTAGGGGACGGGGGGAGGGTGTGCTTTACTGTAAGTACACTGATTGGGATGGCTGTGCTGTACACAGCCATCCAAAGCAGTGTGCTCTAGCTGACAGGGAGGAAGACTGTAAAACAAAACAGTCTTCCTCCCTGTCGGTGATTTCTGTAATCACCGGGCACCGGAGGGTAATTACTGGCCGAGACCCGGTGATTGACATCCACGGCCACGAATGGCGGAGCGGGTAGGGCAAAATCGAGTATATACTGTATATACACGTGATTTTGCGCACAGGTGCCGCCCTGTAACAGTGTATCTGCTATAGGGCGATCCTTAAGCGGTTAATATTTGGTAGCACACCCCTTGGAAAAAATAACTGAAACCAATCACTTCCTGTAACCAGCAATGAGTTTCTTACACCTCTCTACTGGAATTATGGTACACTCTTCTTTTGCCAACTGCTCTAGGTTTCTCAAATTGGAAGGGTTCCTTTTCGGGATTGAGATCTCGACTCATTGCTGGCCAGTTCAGTACTCTCCAGCGCTTTGTCTTAAACCATTTCTGGGTGCTTTGGGTCATTGTCCGGCTTTAAAACCCATGACCTCTGACGGAGACCCAACTTTCTGACACTGGACCCTACACTGCACCCCAGAATTCTTTGGTAATCTTCAGATTTCATAATGCCATGCACACGGTCAAGACATCCATTGCCTGAAGCAACATAGCAACCCCAAAACATCAGTGAACCTACACCATGTTTGACTGTATTCCTTTCTTTTAAGTCCTCATTTCTTTTTCTGAAAACAGTAGAATGATAGGCTGTAATTTTGTTTCGTCTGTCCACAGCACATTCTCCCAAAAGGATTTTTTACTTTTTCAAGTAAGTTTTGGCAAACTCCAATCTAGCTTTTTATGTTTCTGTGTCAGCAGTGGGGTCCTCCTGGGTCTCCTACCATAGTGTCCCTTTTTATTTAGATTGTGACATATGGTGTGAGCTGACATAGTTGTACCTTGGGCCTGAAGGTCAGCTTGAATATGTCTGGAAGTCGATCGAGGTTCTTTATCCACCATTCGAACAATCCTTTGTTGCAACCCTTGATCAAGTTTTTCATCCCTATCCAAGGAGATTAGCTACAGTGCATTGAGCTGTAAACATCTTGACAATGTTGCGCACAGTGGACACAGGAATGATACAGGTGAGTTTAACTACAAATTACAGGAGCATAACAACTTGGAATGTAATTATTTCTTACAATATTGAGAAGGTGCCAATAATTTTTTCCACTCGATTTTTGGGGTTTTGTGTAGAATGTGTCAGATTTGGCTTTTTGTTTTTCCACTTTTTTGTGTCATACCAATACAAGCAAAAGAAAAAAACATGAGGATGCCTAAACATTTGCATCTGCACCATTTTCTGGGCGAAGTGGTGCATTTTCTGACAGAAATGCAGGAGTGTCAATATTTTGGCCATGACTGTATGCAAACCACATCCAAAATGCAACCAGAGTTGCATCAAAGTCACATTACATAAATGCGCTGCAAATAAAGCCAAAAATCACGTCACAGAAGTGTGAACCTAGCCTCACACTACAGAATGCCTTCCATTCAGCTACAATACAAAATAATATAATATATATATATATATATATATATATATATATATATATATATATATATATATATATATATATATATATATTATAGTATTACTCTAAGAAGCAAGAGGTAACCCATGAGAACATTTACCTATAAATGTTAGTATCCAGTTATATTCTGTGTATCTAAGAAAGAATTCAGGCCTTTTTTAAAGCAATCCACTGAGCTGGCCAGAACCAACTCTTAAGGGAGTCTATTCCACATTTTCACTGTGAAGAAACTTTTCCATGTTTGGAAATTAAATTTCTTTTCCTCCAGATGTAAAGAGTGCCCCCTTTTCCTCTGTGATGACCTCAAGGTGAATAGCTCTACACTGAGTTCACTATATGAACCATTGTTGATCATATCCCCCCTTAATCTCCTCTTCGCAAGAGAGAATACATTCAGTTCCTATAATCTTTCCCTCTTAGCTGAGCTCCTCCATGCCTCGTATCAGTTTGGTTGCCCTTCTCTGTACTTTCTCCAGTTCCCCAATGTTCTTTTTGTGAATTGGTGCCCAAAACAACTGCATATTCCAGATGAGGTTATCAACATTTAACTGGTATAATCGGGAACCAGAGACCGCATTAATGTTGCATGGTCAATATTCCTCAGAACATATGTGTTTGTGGATTATGTACTCTTCAAAAAAATCTATTTGCATGCACAGAAAAATAGAGTAGAAGATTGCTTTATGTGCCATTTTTAGTCTAGGTCTATGGCTTTATGTGTATTGTGTCTAGGGCTGGAAATTGACAGGAAATCATGTCCAAACCTCCCTTAGGTAGAATAATAAATTACACTTGCTGTATGATAATGGTAGATGGCAGCTCTCACCTTAAACTTGTTGAGCAGCAGTTTCAGGACCTGTGGGGTGGACATGGCGCTGTTTATCCTCACATTGGTGACTGAGCCATACGCTGGTGTGAATACAGATGTCTACAGGGTTAAACAGATAATTTTTTATTTATATATCAGGTATTTATATAGTGCTTTACATAGATATTTATTTATTTCAGGTACTTATATAGCGCCGTCAATTTTACACAGCGCTTTACACATATATATTGAACATTCACATCAGTCCCTAACCCTCAAGGGGTGTACAATCTAAGGTCCCAAACTTACATTCATACATACACATATTAGGGTCAATTTAGACAGGATCCAGTTAACCTACCAGCATGTCTTTGGAGTGTGGGAGGAAACCGGAGCACCTGGAGGAAACCCACACAAGCACAGGGAGAACATGCAAACTCCAGGCAAGAGGCACCATGGTCGGGTATCAAACCCATGACTCATTTACTGCAAGGCAGATATTGTACATTCTCATCAGTCCCTGCCCCCAAGGGGCTTACAATCTAAGGTCCCTACCTCACATGCACACATACACATATTAGGATTAATTTAGACAGGAGCCAATAACCTACTAGCAGGTCCTTGGAGTGTGAAAGAGAACCAGAGTACCTATAGGAAACCAACGCAAACACAGGGAGAACATGTAAACTCCAAGCAGGTGATGTTGTGGTTGGGATTTAAATTGATGACCTAAGTGATGCAAGTTAATAGGTATAAACAAAGACACACTCAATATAATGTGTATGCAATGGGATATAAAGTAATCACAAATACCTTGTGGTTGTAAAAGTGTCCATTAATAGAGAACCGGTGGCGTTTGATTCGCCTCTGCTCTCCTGGGGTTCGCAAGTTCCCCCTTCTTCGCACCCCCACATCACTGCGCGTCCGCATAAGCTGTGGGGTTTCTTCCTGGGAGGGTTTTTCCACTTCTTCACTTTCTGTAAAACAAGCACATATAGGCTCCTTCAGTAAGTTATTATAGATGACCTATGATTTGCAAAGATCAATAACCCACAACAACTACTTAGAAATCATTTCTTCACTGGTGCACAGTGCATTCCCTGTGAAACAGGATAGCATGCTGATGGTTACTGAACTGTCACATCCCAGCTGATCTTTGCTAGTGTACCCACTCTGCCTTAAGCATGAATGACCATTTAGTGTTTCTTTGCTGTAATCAGCTTAATTTGAGCTTAATCACTCTGCATTCATTTGGTCTCCCATAAGCTGAGTGGTATGAATGACCTATGCCTGCTGGTGGGGTGTCCCTGGCATTAGAGCTCAAGGATTCAATAATGCTGAGTTATGAATATGTATGTTTCCCTGAGCAACCACTAGGAGGCTTATTCCAGTGGTGCCAGCTGGGAGAGGACATAAATATTTGAGTATGACCTTATGAAGCAATTCCCAGGGTAAGGGTGATTGTTGGGCATTTGGTCCACCTAGGCCAACTATCTAAGGAGGTCGAACATGTGCTCAGGAAATTAAGCCAGAGACTGGGGTCTAGGTGCCCTGGTGGATGTAATCTTCCAAGGAGCAGTAAACTGTGCGGTAGCATGGAACACCATGAAGGTAATTTGTCAGGAATAGCTCAGACTTTGCCTGACTTGTGGTGTCTTTCCCAAGAGTTCACTGATGCTTAACATACTCTACAGCCGGGAGTTTAAACTGACAGGATGCCAGGCTGCCTAATGATTTTTTTGCCTGCAATCAGAGTCTGCTGTGTCCTCTGGTGGGGCTGTGCCCTAACCATCTCCTGCTCAAAAGCTATTGAATAAATTCTTTGCAAGCAAAAGATCTACAGTGCGGTAGTTAGTCAATTGATCACCACAGATGCATCAGTAAATATTATGGGGCAATTATGGAATTGTTAATGTAGCACTACCCCCTTAGGAGTTGCAAAAGTTTTGGGTCACCCTATAGCCCTGCACAGCCAGGAAACATGCACTTTCACATCCACTTACATTCAGAAGTCAGTGACCAGTCCTTGAGCTTGTTTTAAAGTTTTATTAGGTGATTTAGAACTTGGATGGGGTAAGGGGTGTATGGGATGCCCAAGGGAACTGAGAAACCGAGGACAACTTCCTGAACTATGTAAAAGTCTTTACACAGAAAATCCTCTTCATGGAGAGATAGCCAGCGTCTCCTGTTGTACGACACCAGACCCTAGATAGATTTCTATTCAGCTGTCTGGAGGAATTCCTGAGCAGGGGATCCAGTGCCTGTCACTCCAAGAGATAAGATAGTTCTGAGTAGTTGCTAATCTGGTTTCCCACCAGAGTGCTCCTTCCCCTATCTGGTTCAGGGGGTGCAGGTCTACTCGCTCAGACCTTCTCCTGTGTTGCTGATGGGTCGGTGGCTGCTACCAGGCCTTTTAGCTGGGCCGCTCCTTCCCTGCCTCACAGTCCTCTCTCAAGGGGCCAGTGAAGTCCTGAGCTTTTCATCTTCCAAGGTCCTCTGCCTGTAGGTGAGCCCCTCTCCATCTGGGCCCCCTCACAGGTTCCTACCTCCAGCCTCACATCCTCCTCAACTCTCCTTCAACTCCTCTCCAACAACAACTCTCGCTACTGAGCAGGCTTGGTTACTCTTAAAGGCTGTCCTGGGTCCATGCCAAGCCTCCTGTAGGGGATTTGCCAGGATCCTCTAAGCGCAAAGACCATCAACTCCTCAGATTTGCCCACTGTTTCTATATCTTTCTCCAAAGTCCTGGAGCAGGGGGAAATTCCAGAGGACTGGTCTGCAGCACTTCTCATCTCTGACAACAATTTTACCCCTGCTTAGTATCACACCCAGGCTGCTACTCTGCTCTAACAATTAGAGTCTAGATCCCCTAGCTGATTAAAAAGATGGTACATTAAGTTTGGCGAAAAAAAAAACAAAAACAAAAAAAAAAAAACAACATTCCTACAGCTGTACATCACTTTTTTTTTTAAAAGGAAGAAGAATACCACTTGTACTTCTGTTCTGCCTGAAGACCTGAAGCTGTTAACCATTGCAGCAATGGATGTTTAAAGACAGCTACCCGCACAAGAGACATTTTTTATTACAAACAACAAACAACAAAAAAGTTCAAACGCCTAGTGCATTATCTCTAGCACTTTATTGTAGGTTTAAAAAAAGTACTCACAAACCAAAATGGAATAGTAGTGTCTCAAAATAACAGAGTCCAGAAGTGCACCCTCCAACTACATGGAAAAGTAAGGATAATGCACTAGGCATTTGGGCCTTTTTTGTTTTTCATTTCTGCTGTACAGGATTCTCCAATTTGAGGAGAAATCACCGCCTTAATTATCCAGCCCGAGTTGCACTGTGGTCAGGGCAATTGGATCAATTATGGCAAGCTTCCCTACAATTTTTGACTGCTAAAGTGTCAAGTTTACATTGTTCTTTGGTGTACTTTATTACAAGTATGTGATATGACTAGCTGTAGGGAATTTATTTTTTTTTTACCAAAACTTTAGCTTTAACCCTAGACAGGTTGTGAGGGCCCAATACAACCAATGGCTCCCTTGAGGGTACAAACGCAACACTATACGTGTTTGAATAAGCACAGTAGAGTTTCTCAGCAGTAACATCATTTTCGTACCAAGACTTTTCAGAAGACTCTGGAAAATATTATCACCCTCCACCTTGTTAAAGCCAAAGAGGACCAATCATTAAACTATTTTATCTTTTAGGTGCACTGGAGGTGATTGCGAAATTCACCCACTTGAAAAAAGCCATTGCACTGCAGTCCCACTGTCCATGTTAGATTCTTCAGCTGTTTTTCATGAAAAATTCAGAAGATAGGTAAGAATTCAAAGAGGGACTAAATGCACAGAAAAAAAGGAACCTATAGGTAAGGCATCAACATCTACCAATAACTGAAATATCAGCTTTTGCTGACTTTCTGAGCTACTCGTCCAGTAAAAATATGCCAGTTAGGGGTTGGGTTCTGACTACACTTGAACTTTCCTGATCGGCATGCTTGTTTTTATTAGTATTGAAGCTGGTGACAGTCAGGCAACTAGCATTTTTAAAAGACGTCTGCACTACAATCCCCTCTAGGTCTCTTCCTCTAAAGTAGATCTCTTTTCCTACGGTTTATCTTGTCACGGTGTAATAAGAAGCTGAGACCAGAAGAGGGCACAGCTGCCTAGCTATCTGCTTCCATGTATGTGTGTCTCTGCTCCTATTCAGAATACGGGTTTGACATAAGCACAAGGCTCAGCAGACAATGCAGAGCCTGTGGCAGAATAAATGCCTGAATTATTAAGGTGGCCAGGCTGTGACCAGCTGATACCATTATTAATTCATGGGGACAGCCCGGCAGATCTATGTGACCTTCCAAGGAACACGTAATCCCTTCAATGCTCCTGCAACATGCTCACATAACATCATATGGTATACTGGCTACTAAACACTAAAATGACCATATGTATTGAATGTCTGTATAGGAAGCCATACATTTTAATATATGTAGCATGCAGTGGGATACAATCATAAAAAGGAACATTGAGGTGCATGTATGAACTGGCATTTCCACTTTCACTAGTTACTGTGTGCACCACACACAAGATGCGGTATGGTGTCCTCTTCTGTACATGAGAGCAAAGAGGGGGCAATGTGTATATGAATTAAAAATGTACCTTTTTCCAAAGAGAAGTGAAGTTTTATTATGGTTACCCTTGGCTGCCAAAGAGTAGCAAAGTACAGCAAAGAACATGAATGAGCCATCATGGGACAAACTAGTCATCTCTATTGTGAACATCCCTTGTTACAGTAATAGGCATGTGAAAGGTACTCTTTATGGAGAGACCCCAAATCCCTCCTCTGCCCTTTAAATCAAACCAAGATTGGTGTGATTGAATGCTTTTCATTTTTGTAAATGGCGTCATGTATTTCTGAGTCAACCGGAAGTGATGTAAGGTCATCATTTCTGGGTTACTAGATCATAAAGGCCAACAAAGTCGATATGGTCTTTGTTGGGCTCTATGATCAGCCGGCAGAAGCACTGGCTAGTTGATCAGGAATCCTGGTGGGATGGAAGATCTCGTTACTTCTTGTAATAGCAATCAAAAGGATAGTTAGCTGCTCTAATTGCTATGTAACATTACCCCCTCAGAGGCTACTGAGTAATTTTCGGGTTCCCTATCTTTCTTGACCCCACTCTGGAAGCCCAACCCCTGCTGACACCACCTTAAACCACTGGCCAGAATAATTCTCTGGCTGCAGCCATAAAATAGACTCACACACAGTTTAGAGTGAACTAATATTCTGGTTGTATTGAAATCAAATGTGAGCACAGTAAAACAATATGTGCATAAGACAACAGCTGTCACTGTAGTAACTTCAAGTAAAGATCACAACATAGCACAAACTCAATCAATTCTAGAGGTCCTGCAATTCAGAATTTAAATGAGAAACCCCAGTTCTGAAATGTTTTTATCCCAGTGAGTCAAAAAAAAAAAAAAAAAAAAAACTATCAAGCAGAGGCTAACTCACTTTGGGTGCTCAGTGGATGAGTCAATTCTGAAGGAAAGCTCTTCAATTGAATAGACTAATGTCCCTTTAACTGCAGTGTCTGATCTTCTGCATGCTTGATGGGGCCCTAATTGGTGCACGTAAGATTCAAATCTTCCTTGAGGCAGAGGGTTATAAGTTCTTAATAGAGTGTAAACATAAAAAGGGAAAGAGTTGCCCCCAAGTGATGTTGCATTCAAATAGTATCGTTTTGACACAACAGGATGAGGTGTAAAATTTGACAGTAAGTAGAAATGGGCAAGACTGTGAGTTGGGTTCTTCCTCAGGCCACAGTGGCAAACTGCAGCATTGCAGGTACTCCTTGGTGAATGGCAGACTGTAATGAAAGCAATAATACAGCTGGGCCAGCAGATGGCAGTGCAGTAGGCCTCTGATTGGATATGCTGGTAACTGTAATAACTAGTAGGCCAAACAA